GCTCTGGTCCGACTTCCCCCTCGAGACAAGACAGGCCGTGGGCCCGGCTAGCCCTCTGGGGTTGGTCGTGATCAGGCAGCGAGTCGTACTCATAATATGATCACGGGCAGTGCACTTCTCCCAGTCAGCAGTGGAGAACACGTTGCGCTCCCCCCTGCCGTGCCTACCGACCCCGTCCTGGCCTGGCGTCGACCCCTCTTCCCCGCTTGCTCACGTGCTGGCCGCCAGCGCCAGTTATGCCGATACTCTCACCTCTCTGTTCTTGCGTCGTGAGCGGTCGGAGACGGGCCTCGCTTCTACGTTGACTGTTTCCGCAAAGGCTTGTCTCGACGCTGGCGCTGAGCCCGCCGATGCCAGTTTCCTCGGTGACTGTCCCAGACGTTCCGATAAGAAGCAATGGATCACCACCCACCAAACCACCCCAACCCAACCCGAAGGCCTCTAATTGACCTCCATTTCCAGTGGGGGGGGGGTCGGGGAACATCGAGAACATACATATGGAAGCCGTACCCCCCTCAACCCGAAATTCGGGTCTTCGGGTTGGGTTGGGGTGGTCGGGTAGGTAGTCATTGGAGGTCGCGGGTCCCTTCCGATAAGAAGCAATGGGCGGTTGCGTTCGGCTATGATGCAGGGCTGGGCGTCATGTTGGCTCGTTCGGTGGGCCGCGTTTGCGCGCTGTTCCAGGTCAGGCCCACTTGCTCTCGATGTTCTTGGCTGCCCGTGATAATTTGCGCCCGTTGCTGGGGCGGGCCCGCGTGGGTCTGGGGCTCTGTCGTGCGCGAGTGCTGGCTGGCCTGGGCCCTGTTGCCTACGGCTGCCGCGCGTCTGGTTCTCGCCGGGTGCCCTGGGGCGACCTCCGTGGGCGCGCCTCTGCGTGGCCTCGGCGTTGCCGCGCGCCAGTCTGACCCAGTGCGAGTTGGCCAGATTGGCCGCGTCAGTGAGGTGCGTCGGTTCGGTGGCGCGCCTCGGAATGTCTTGGACGAGGCGGAGGTCCCTATCCACTGTCCAGCCCGCGGCCTCGCCCGCGCCTTTCCAGGTGCTGGTTCTCACGCGGATCTCCCGCGGTTCCCGAATGGCGAGCGAAACAGTCCCCCCTGGGGCGCCCTGGCTGCCCTGAGGTGGAGGGGGGAGGAGCAGGTCCTGAACCGGCAGGCCGAAGCGGCCCTGTGGGCTGCGCGCTGTGCCGATCGTCATCAGCGCCATGCGGGTCATCGGCACCTCTTGCCGAGTGACTCCGTGTCCTGGGTCTGTGCCGCCACGCTGGGGGAGGCAGTCCGTGGGTCTTATTTCGACGGGGTCGGCAAGTGTGCGCTCTGCCGATTGCGTTGGGATGTCGGTTCGCTCATCGTTGGGCCCCGTCAGAATGGAACGGCGCTGGCGCGCACGGTCGCAGATGTGACCCTGCGAGCGCACATCGTGGCCGTCGATGCTACGACCGTGGCCCACCTGTCTCAACAGTTGCATGCCCGCCATCGGCGATGGCGCTCCGCGCCCTCCAGGCCTGCGCTGGCCCGCGGGCGCGGCCGTTCGCCCCCGCAGCTCGCCCGGGCACTGGGGCGCCGCTGATGGCGGCGCCCCCGCGGCGGACGCGAGCGACCGCGACGGCGCCAGCGAGCCCTTCGTCTGTCGCGGCGAGGCTGCTGGAGCCACGGCAGGACGACTGCCCGGGAGCGCCATCAGCGCCGGGCGTTCTCCGCCCTTCCAAGCGGAGGCCCGAGAGCGGGGGCGGCCCGCCTGACCCCGCCGCTCGCCAAGACGGGCGCGGGGCGCCGCTCGCCGAGGGAGGGGGGGGGCGCTCGCCAGTCCTCGACGAGACCAGTGCGACGCGGGTCGCCGCGACGCTGGCCGCCGCGGGCTTCGCGGCGACAGCGCTGGCGGCGCTGGGGGCGCGAGCCAGCTGCGAGGAGCACTCGCGGAAGCTCGCGCGTTGGATGATGCGCCGAGAGGCGCCGCCCCCAGGCGCCTGCGAGCGGGGCGCGCTGCTGACCGCCCACCTGGGGCGCCTGTGCGATTCTGTGGCCACCGAGAGCACGGGGGCCGACTGGCTGTGACGCGCTGGGCAGAGCTTGCCAGCCCGCGGCCCCTGCGCCGCGCCTTTTTGCCGGCGTCGGGCGCGCTTGCGAGCTAACGGCGGGCGGGGCCGGGGCGGTCCAGGCCGCCGCTCCCGCGCGAGCCGGCAGTGGCGAGAGCCCTCGACCAGTGCGATTGCGACTTGTCGAGCCTTGGCGTTTTGTGCCGCGATGCCTGTCTTCGAGACGCGCGCGCGCCTGGGCGGGGCCCGCGGCCGCCCGCCCTCCCAGCTGGTCCCGCCTGCAGGGGGCGGGCGTGCAGGGGCCCACGGTTCGTGGGGCGGTGCTGGTCAGAGCGATCGAGCTTGGCAGGCCCGGCAAGCAAGGCTGGCGAGTTCGACGGCGGCGTCGGTCTCGACCTCCTGGCGCCGCACAGCGCGCTGATTCCAGGGCTGGAAGCAATCTCCTGGCACCGTGCCGACATGTGCGGGGACTTCGAGTTCGAGTGCTCAACCCTGCTGCGCCGCCGTCACGCCGTCGTGCGCCGTCTCGGGCTCGAGAAGCTGAGCGCGGCCCCCCGCCGCCTCCGCCGCGGAGGCGCGTCGGGTGATCGCGCGAGCACGTCGCGGTCCATGCTGGAGGTAGTGGGGCGAGGCGGCTGGGGGGCCGACTCGGGCCTCGCGAGGTGCGAGGATCATGCCGGGCTCGGCCCAGTCCCGCATCGGGCTGGGTCTCAGTTGCCGAGCCATGGGGACCGAGAGAGCTCGGATTGGCCGAGTTCTTTCGAGAAGTTCGGCGACGGCCCGCTCCGATGCTGCGATGGTCGCGGCAAGGTCTTGCTGGTCTTTTCCCTGGCGCGGCCGTGTGGGCCGATTCTTGCGGGGCCGCGGTCGTTGTGCCATTTTCTTTGAGAAGAAGTTTGGGCTCCGCCGTGATGTGCGTCGCGCGGCCGTCTTCGCCAGCGTGCTTGGTTGGGGCAAGTCAGGTCTTGCGCGGCTTTTCCCTGCCATCCTGTGGTGCTGGGTCTTCGTTTTGAAGAGACAGCGCCCCGCGTTCTCACTTCTCCCGCTGCCCCCTCCCTCCTCCTTCCTCCCTAGCACCCAGCACAGTGTTTCCTCTCCCCGGAGGGAGCTCCACCTTCCCAATGCCGCAGTTCGCATGCGGCCCCCCCGCCCAATACAGCGCTTCGTGGCCCCATATGGAGCTCCACCGGAGGTCCGAGGGGCGCAGTTTGCATGCGGTTCCTTCGCTTCGTGGCCACAGAGGGAGCTCCACGGAAGACGATACCCACGACTGCGGTATTCACAGCTGCATATGGTCGGGTTCTCCGCCAGGCTGATTGTTTGTCTCGCCGCGCCACGTGTCGCCACCGCTCGCGCGCGCCAGATCGGCGCCGCAGGCGTGCCCCCCGATTTTCGAGTGCCTGCTACCGTGGCGCCCCCCGGCCTGTCCCTTCACTTACGTGGGAAAGTCCGGGGTGCCGACGCGTTGATCGATCGAATGGGTCTCCTGCTCAGCCTTGTTGAATGTCTCGATACTCCCTATGATAAGGAGACCCTACCACTCCTTTTTTTTCAAGTCGCCGCCGACTGGTCGACAAGTGGCCTCGGAACAGCGCCGATTGTTGCTCTTGTTCTCTGCCCGTCAGAAAACTGGGCCCGTCTGTGGCTCCTGCGCTGTGGGTCCCCTGGCGGCTCAGTTCGTTTGGCCTGGCCGTCGCGGCATCCGCAAGCTTTTTGGTGAGCCTCAGTTGCGCATTCGGGAGAAACTGAACGGTACCTGGATCAGTACACTCGCAGAATTGTATCCGCCTGCTATCAAACACTTTATTGCTTTATGTTTAAGTGATGCAGCTAATGAGTGGCAGTGGTCCGTCCTTTCTGTCTCTCACATATGCCCGTTTACTTGTGGCGTGCTGCCGTGTTGCTGGTGTGGAATCCCACGGTGGGTTCGTCTGCGGTGTTGTTTCTCGGAAAGCGACATTTTGAGACATGGGTTAGTTTGGCATCGTCGTCATGATGATGCGCGCATGAAGTCCGCTCCCGCCCTTTTTTACGCCAAGCCCGTGGCTTGTTTCAGTTTCAGTTGTTGCGCTGACGTAGTATGAAGTCCGGCGATGGTTTGTCTGTGATGTTGTGCTTCGTCAAGCTACAGGTTGCAAAAGGGTTCATCTCCCATCGGCATCGTGCATATCTTCCCGGCTCCCACCTTGGCATCGACGGCTTCGAGCACATCTTCAGCTCGGGCCCTTGCCTTGGAGACAGCACAGTTGGACCTCCGTTCCGCCCCCTCTTCTCCTCCTTCTTCCTCCCCCGCCTTCGCGCCTCCGCGGAGGTAGCGTTTTACGCGGGTCGAGGCGAGGCTTTAACGCTCCCTGGGTGCTGCTAGGCGCACAACTGTCGCCCATTCCTCGCACCCCCCCCTAGAGGGGGTCCAAGGGGACCGTCGCCGTGGGCATGTCCGGGGGAGGCCCCGCCCTGGTGCCGCCTGGCGCGCAGCCGTCGTCGCTCCTCTGGGGGAGTCGAGCGCAGCTGGTCCCTGAGCGCGACTGCTCCGTGGAGAATCTCGTAGCATGTTCGTGTCCGTTGGTGCGGCCGTGCGTGTCGGATGCACTGGGTACGTCCCTGGGCAAGTGTACATGTCGGGGCTTCAGGAGGCCTCCGAGGGCCCATGGGGCCTCCAGGGACCCCCGGGGACCTCCTTGGACAGGAGAGCCTTGCTGCTCCTGGTCAGGACGCGACAGCGGTGGACGGATGAGTATGGATGAGTAGATGGAGAGGTGGATCGACGAGTAGGGGGAGGGGGTGAGTAAGCAGATTCTTCCCTTACCATTTTGCTGTTTTCCTCGCCCCCCCATTCTATCAGCTAGAGCTCGACGATAGCTTCACGACGGCGGCGCTAATGCGCAGATCGGCCTTCTGTGGGCCACGTTCGGGGAGGCCGGGCGCTCGGCGCCCGGCCGGTCTCCGGCGCCGGCGCCGGGCCGCCCAGGAGTCGCCCGCGTCGGCGAAGTTGATCAAGGTGGAGATGATCGACCAGGCGAGGGTGCCGATCCTGCGGCTGATGCTCAGAGGCCGCGCCCGCCCCCACGGAACAGTGGAAAACCGACCAGCCCCAACCACATTTCAATGGTTGTTGCGCGCCTGCGCGCGTGCACGCGCGCAGGCGCGCGCGCGCGTCAATTGGCTCTCTCGGGGGGAGGTGCGCCGTCGAGGAGCGGTGGAGGCCCTCGCGGGGCGCCGCTGTCTAGATTTTTCTTCCGCCGCGAATGCGCTTGGTTTTGGGAGGCATTTTGGTCCCCCCAACTCCGGTTGGAACAGAGGCACCGACAGTTGATTGTTTTGGGGGACATTTTGGTCCCCCCAACTCTGGTTGGGGAACAGAGGGCACCGACACTTGATTTTGCAGCTCAGCGTTTTGCAAGTCTGGCGACTGTACGCAAGCGTAGGCGCCCGGTGAGCGAGGCCACTGCCAGTTGCCGCAGGCGGGGGCCCGCGCGCGCGGTCCAGTGGGTCCGAAGTTCCTCGTGTGGGGGGCGGGGGGCGGTTTGCATGCGTTCACCTGTTGCCGTGGCTCGTCGCAGTCGTTTGTCATCGGTCGTCGTCGTCGTCGTCGTCGTCGTCGTCGTCGTCGTCGTCGTCGTCGTCGTCGCTCGTCGTCGCCCGTCGTCTCTCGTCGCCTCTCGTCGTCGTCGTAGGGTCGTGGGTCTCTTCCCGTCGAAATAAACAAAACACCTGCAAAACCAGAATCGGAGGCCCGCGCGGAGTTCTCGGATCGGCGCTGGGCCCCCCGTGGCGGGGCCTCCGGCGCCGCCACGGGCGCGGTCCGCGCGCCGCGCAGGGGGGGGTCCAGCGCCCATCTCAGAAATCTGCGCGGACCTCCGACAGCTTCTGCGGGCGCTGTCAGCTCTCCCCAAGGCTATGATCCACTATAGGGCGACGAGATCTATACATATCCACTGCTCCCTGGCCAGGCCCATCCTGTGCACCCAGGAGCTGTGTATACGCCCTCCTGGCCAAGCCAGGAGGGCCTCGCGTATACACCGCTGCCGGGCTCACGATGGGCCTGACCAGGGAGCAGTGGATATGTATAGACTTCGTCGCCCTACACTAGTGGCGTTTTTTCATGCTCTCTTAGCCTCCTCTTTTTTTGGCTGGTTTCGTTCTTGCGGCGCGTGCTGGACTCGCGCTCCGCACCCCGTTGTTCATTACCGTTTTTGTCGGATCCGGGCCCTATGGATTGGCCCCCTCTTTCTCGATGGGGATGGCTGAATCGCGGGCGCGCGCGTGCCCATTGCTGCGCATCTCGCTCACATGTGGTTCGCTCCCCAGCTGCTTCTGCAAGCTTCTCTTCTCTCCTCCCCCCGTCGCCGTCCTCGCCGTCCTGGCCTTCCTTGTCCTCGTCCTCGCCCTCCCCCCTCGCCCGCCTCCCCCTCCCCTTCCCTCCTGCCCCCCTCCTCTCCCTCCCTCCGATGAGCCTCCGGACGCATGTTCGCCCGCCCAAGCGTGTGTCTGCCTCCTTCGGTTCCGCCGACGGCGCGCAACCTTCTGGGCCCCCGCTGCGCCGCCCTACGTGGCACGGACAGCGCACGCGCTGACGCTGCGGTCGGGCCCGGGTATCAGATCGGGGCCCGTTCGGGGAGGGTGCTCCGAGGCAGGGCCCTCGTGCTCGCGGGATGCCCTGGCGCAGCCGGGGGGAGGGCACCCTCGCACGCCCTGCAGGTCCCGGCCGGCGGAGGGCCGCCTGTCCTCGAAGGAGTGCCCTTCTGCGCCACCAGGTCCGGCTGCAGCACACCAGCTTTAAGTCGGGCCTGTCCCCCTACAGGGGGATTGCCGACGAAAAATTACAAATACCCCCAAAAAAAATCCAAAAAGAGTCCAACACTAGTCTGGGGACTATTTTTCGAGTCTCTGTTGACCTTTTTGGGGCATTTTTCGGGTACTTTTTATTTTTCGTCGAAATTTCCCCCTGTAGGGGGACACGCCCCACATAACACTGGCCGAGGACCATCGCTTCTTGCCCCCTCCCGGTGCTCTTTTCTTCTGATGCCGGTGCGGCGCGCGGGGGAGGGGCGGCTGCACGCCCTCTCCTCTCGGCTGCGCTCTCGCCCCCGGGCTGCACCCCCGTGTGCCGCCGGCCTGCAGCGGGCAGCGCAGGCCAGGCGCTTTTGCGGGCCGGCCAGCGGCTGCCGCAGGCCGGGCGCGCGGCGCAGCCTCTCGTCCGTCTCCTGCCCCCGGGGCCGGCCCTGGCCTCCTCTCGTCCTCTCGTCGTGGCTCGCGTCTCCCCTCGCTGTCCACTTGGTGGGCGGCGTGCTCGCAGCCATGCTTCGGGCCTCTGCTTCTACCCGCTTCCCTCTCGGTCCTCGTCGTCGTCGTCGTCATTTGTCGCCCTCTCCCAACTTGGCTTTGGTCGTTCCCTCATCCCGCGTGGGTTCCTTCGTCTTTCTTATCTTCTGCCTGGCCCTGCTTCTCAGCCTGGCCACGTTCGTGCGGCGGGGCGTTGATTACGTCTGGCGGCGCTTCTCGCGAATCGGCCGGCTGCGATTGCGCGGTCGGGATGATTATTTTCCTGACCTTGTGGAGGCGCTTCCGTTGTGCGTTTCCTTTCGGCTAGCCTTCCTCCTCTCCTTTCATGAGTATTCCTATGTTTGTATAACTACAGCTTTGTTTGTATGTATTTATTTTGATATTAGTTCTTTATTCTACAAGCCGTGCTTGCACTTAGGGACTCGCATTTATTCCCCAGTTTGGTGTTCCCCGGGTTCCCTGGGATGCTAAGCAATGCCAAGCAATGCCAAGCACTGTGCCCGTGCAATAGGAAGCTTTCCCCTAATCGGGGTCGCGCCGGTTTGATTTTCTAAGGAACTGGGTCTGCGGGCTGGTCTGGCGGCCGTGTTGCCGCCGTCCCCGCCCTGTCGCCGCCTCGTCGCCGCCTGTCGTTTGGGCCTGCGGGCCGGTCTGGCGGCTATGTTGCCTCCGTCGCCGCCCCGCGCCGCTTCGTCGCCGCCCGTCGTCTGGGCCTGTCTGTCGGTCTGGTGGCTATGTTGTCGCGGTCGCCGCCCTGTCGCGGCCCCGTCGCGGCCTTGCATAATTCTCCTTTTGTGCAATTATTAGGATTCCCCCCCTCCCCCCCCGATTTTACCGCTCACTTTTTCGTATTGCAATTTGCTTGCGATTGTGCCCCATCGTCCATCCTAAATCTGAAATCGTACCATCCCAGCCAGGCCGGTAATGTCCCCCCCATCCTCTGCAACAAATATTATGCGCGCACACTCGTTTATCAAACATCGTAAGTTTTCAATATTCCTTTGCAGAAAAGGGACGAAGTGCACGCGCGCGTCGTCGCGCGTGCATGCTTGAATTCTTCAAAACTCTCGGTTTCGTAGCGATGTCAGAATCGAGTGTCCCGAAACACACACAAATCACATAGTTTTTCAATGCGAATTTTCAAACAAAGTTTGCGCTCGCACTCGTGCGAATTCTCGAGACAACCATTTGTTTTCATTACGTTTCAAAAAAAGGCTACGCAATGGGCCTCTCGCGCGCGCATGTCGAAATCGTTCGAACGCACTTGCGCGCGTGCTGTCGCAATCATCCCTGGCAGAGTCAAAGGGACGAAGTGCGCACGCTCGCATCGTCCCGCGCGTATGCCGACATCCTTCGTAATGATTTCATAATCGAGCGCCCCGAACACATATTATAACACATGGTTTTGCAACGACAGCTTTCAGACAAATCTGTTTCGCGCTCTTGCGAAATTTCAAACAAGCAAGGTATTTTAGCAAATTTGGCCGAAAGGGCCTTTCGCGCCGCATGCCAACATTTTTCGAACGCCCTTGCCCGCGTGCTGGGGGGCACGGTCCGTGTCAAATAATACAATGCGGGCCACTCTTGCGCGTCGGCCGCGCGCGCATGTTGAACTTCTTCCAACATTTGTATCACCGGCGCGAGGACGCTGTCATCGTCTTCGGCGTGATCAGCATCGGCGCCGTCACTGGCCGTGTTGTTCGTGTTGACATTATTGTATATTTTTGCTGTCGGCGTCGTTGCTATCATTATCGTTTTTTATCGTTGTCGACATTGGAATTATACCGCGCCCGCCCAAGTGGCCGACTCGCATTGAACCGCTGGGAAGTGCCCTGAGGTTCGCGACACCGTGGCCGCGTCGGTCGCGCCAAACTAGCTGGCCGCTACGCGCGCGAGCATGCTCAGGAGCGCGGCCGCAGAGATGCACCAGCCAACACCAAGCACTCATCGCAATCGCGTCCGCATGTGTCTTGCAAAGCCCGTTGCGGGCGGGTGGATGGCATGATTGCGCGAGCAGTGGAGTTGACAACTGCGAGTTTCACAAGTGAGTTGCACCACGTGGGTTGCACCACATGATGACTTGCATCATGTAGATTACACCACACAGGTTGCCAACCATAGATTGCATCGCGCAGATTGCACCACGTAGATCGCAATACATCATTGCACAACATAGACCGCACCGCACACATTGCACCACTTGAATCGCACCACATAGATTGTGCCACACCGGTTCCCGTTTCCACTCCACAGAGGAATTCGGATGTACCCACCCCCCAGGACCTCTGGGGATGTGCAATTTCCAAATGATTTTGCCCTTCGTGCGTTCTACATATGGGTGCGAACCATCCCATTTAAACCGGTTTAGACATCCCCCGCTATTTTCCGACATAAACACTATTATGGGCGCGCGCTCGTTTGCCACGAATCATCGGTTTTCAAGCACGCCGTGCAATCTATGGGACGAAGTGCGCACGCGCGCGGCGTCCCCCTCGGATGTCGAACATTCAGGTGTCGCATGGATTTCAGAACCGAGTGTCCCAAAAGGAGATACAGCACACACACACACACACTGTTTACCAACATGAAATTTCAAAGCAGGTTGCGCGCGCTATTGCAAATCCTTGACCAACCCATCTGTTTCAACATTTGCACCACATTCGGCCAAGCTTACCCCTCGCGCGCGCAGGTCAAACTCATATGAACGCTACTGCGCGCGTGCAGGGGGGAGGGTACTTCTCAAATATTACCATGCGGGTCGGTCGCG